TCTTTCCAACGCGTCCCGGGATGCCTGCAGCGCTCGGTCCCTCGAGCAGGGAAAGGTCAGGTCCCGGGAGGGTGAGCAGTGTTGCAATAGCTTTTTGGATGCGTTTGCTCACAGAAGTCTCATAGATCAGCAGGACATGAGTTATGGCTGTCCCCCTCCCGAAAGGATGTCACCCCCACCCTTCCCTTTGAGCTCCGGACGGGATGCTCCTCCCGGCCACCCCGCTGCCAGCACCCGGCTCCTTCCCACCCCCGGCCCCTTCCCGCCACAGCCCTGCGGGGACCTGCGAGGCCCCCGACCTGCAGCAGCATCCCAGAAAAAAAAAAAAGAAATCAGGATCTTAAATAAGACTTTGGGCTTTATGGACGGAGCCTGTGGGTCCGCAGCCCGGCCAGAGGCAGGCAGCGGGCAAAGAGAGGGCAAAGATGGGAGAAGCACACACACCGGAGCAAAGCTGAGCTCCGGGACGTCCCTTTGAGTCCCACTACCATCAGGAGGTGGGGGATGCGTTTTTAGGGAGTGCTGGGAAAGCCAACCCAGGCCCTGCCTAATAGTTTGGGCGGCACCAAAAGTTGGTGCCTGCAGCCTTTCACCTCCCTTGCAGCAGGCAGACGGCCGAGCGGGCGATGCTACGGGAGCAGCCGGGCAGGGAGATGCATGGTGGGCAGCTGCTGGTGCGTAAACACTCGGGAAGCGCCTGGGTAGGGTCCCCTCCCACCCCGAAAGCTGCGAGATGACAGATGCCACATCCTGTCTTTGTTGGCAGTGGGCGGAGGGGCCGGGAGGCGCCGATAGCATCGTCCCCAGCTCCCCCAGCCCCCGGGAGAGGCAGCCTCTGCGGCGAGAAAAGGATCGTTACTTTTATTTTTCTCTGGTTTATCTCAGGAAATCGGGCCGGGGACACATGTCGGAGATTTAATCTGAGCACACACGCATGAAAGGGAGGTTTTGCCTTGTCGGTGTGGGCAGCGGAGGGTGGGAGGCGGGTGCTGGGGGGGCTCCTGCCCGAGGGCAGCACGTTCTGTGTCCACCTGCTCTCCTGACCCAGCCTCTGCTCCCAAAACATCGTCAAGATATTATCTTAATGGTGGCTTGTGTTGTGGTGGTGGGGAACCCCAAACCTTGTTTGCTCCTGATCTGAATAACTGCTTTAGTGAGGTACAAAAAGGAAATCCAGCACTTTCTAATGTAGACTGTTAAACACTCAGAGCAAAAATGCAGCGGAAAAATCCCTTTTTCAGGAAAAAAAAAAAGCACCTTTTACTCTAAAAAAGCCTTCACTTTCATACGAGGTGGGGCCTCTGAAAAGAAAAGCCACTAAATGTACCTTTGCCTATTGATGCCCTCAAGTTTCAGGTGCTTTAGTCTGGCTACAAGTTAAAGTCATTCTCAAATTTAAATTGAGGGCTTAATGTATTGCCTCAAAGGCTTCCTGTGTATAAACGGCAATTTTAATTTCGGAGGGGCCTGGAAATGGGGGGTCTCCGAGCACCTTTGCTTGCTGGAGGCACCCAAACCACCGCAGTAGCTGACAGAGAGAAATGTGGGGTATGAAAAGCGGGGAGGCGGTGTGATGGGAGCCTGGAAGGAGTCCTTTAAACCTGGAAATCGAACCTGGGCCAACAGTAGGAGCTGAACATCTCTCCTGGTTTCGCTGGGTTATGTTTGCTCACGTACGTGAGACAAAGTGTGATGGATGGAGATCAGCTGGAAATGGGGTACCGCTCGGGACCGCGGTCTCAGCAGCAGCTCATCTTTCTCCCTGGGAGGGGAAGTCTCGGCTTCAATCTGGAGGTGATTTGAGGGGTAAAACGTTCACATTCAGGTTGTGCCGCGGGTTGCAAGCGGCTCAGCAAAGCCTTGTGCTCCCAAAGAGAGCTGGTGGTTGGGACGGGCCCCTCCGCACAGCCAAGGATTGTGCAAGGGGAGGAGGAGGCTCAAAAACCCTTGCCTGTGCGATGGCCGAGGGTGCAATGGGGTTGCGGGGGAGTGTGTGTGTGTGAATGCTTGGCATGGGGAGCAGGGAGGAAACCAGTGTCACTCCGGCCATGAGCAATCTGATGGTCTGCCGGGGGCGAGCAGAGGGAACAGGGAGCCTCGATTGCAGAGGATGTTATTCCACGTAGGGGAGGGGTGGCCTCTCCGTCAGCTTTTTAGGAAGAAAAAAAAAAAAAAAAAAAGAAAAAAGAAAAACTGATTTTCCTGATATTGTTCTGCACCTCTAAAGGAAATTCCAGGACTGGGAACCTTCAGGGAAACAATGAACAGGGCTGGGAGCAAAGGTGGGCTGCCCCAGGTTGCTGTGGTCCTCCTGCAGCCAGGGCAGGTCCCCGTGCCCCCACCACAGGCATTTCGGCCACGGTCAGAGCCTCTGCCAGGGCCCCCACCCTATTGCAGGTGGAGACGGGGTGGCCACGCGAGAGCCGCGCAGCCAGCATCCCGCTGCCCGCACCCCACACGGGATACAGGGCTTGGTTTTTTGCTTCGCAATTTCCCGCAACCTTGCTTTTTCAGAAAAAGACCCAAATTCCACAGCAAGTAGGACGTGTTAGGATGCTCCCTGGTGTTTTGTGCATGGGAGAAGTCTCTTTTTTTTTTTTTATCAGAGGGGCCAATATTTCAGCCTCACTGAAAGTGCTTCTGCTCCAGGGGTTAACCAAGCACATCCATATCACTGCACTTTCTCCTGAGACACGACTTTTAGGAGAAACTTATTATTTCTCTCTGCTCCTTCCCTGAAATAACAAAGGTGGCTTTTATTTTCAACGCAACAGGTTTCCTGGGGAGCACAGCTCTCCCCTCTCTTAGCATCAGCCAGGCTCTGCATCCCCATGGATGGGGCCAATCTGGCTTAGTGATGCTTCAGTCCAGACAACTGATGGTATCGCTGGAGAAAAGCAACAGCGTGCTGAGCCTGAGCGACCTGAGCAAGATGGAGTTCCCGTTTGATCCCACAGTTCCCCTCTCGTGGGTGGGGCGTGGCCGCGCGCCGGGGTGGGGGGGGGGGGGGGGGAGGGCTGCTGCATTTTGCAGGGGGTTTGAGTGCTCTGGTTGCTGCAGCTGCGGTAATTAAGCATCGTGGAGGTGTCTGCTGGCATGCAGAGGTCTGCCCCATCGCGGTGGCCACGGGCGACGTGTTGGGGTGTAATTGTTAATGACATTGTGTCAATCAGCACTGAGGTCCATGGGCTGGATGTGGACATGCCCGACTACTCCCCATCCTTAACAAGTTTGTTAATACGTGTTGGAAAGACGTTTCTGCCTTCCTCTGGTCTCCCCGCTGCATTTCCCTTCCCTCCGCTGAGGCGCGAGTGTTAAATTCCCAGCTTAGCAAAACAGGGTTCAGTGTCAAATGCTTCATTTCAGGTTTTTGTGAGGAGCCAGTTCATTTACAAATCACCAGCTGGAAGTTATTAGGCCCTTAAAACAAAATAAATTACTACAAAATTATGCCTCCCTGCAGTTGGTCTGCTATTAATTTGTGCTGAGTGCTGGAGCCAGCTAAAACCCAGCCCGCTGGCTTCCTCCTCCCCCTCTGGCATCTTTCTGCACCGAGAGGGCAGTGAGACAGAGAAGGTGGGGAGGCACTGGGATTTTGGGTGCCCGGTTCTCCATTGCTCCTGAGTCCGTCCAACGGTAGCTGCTTTATTCCCTGCTTCATGCTGAAAAGCAGAGTGGTTTAGGAAGCAGCGAGGATTTGCTGGTAGGAAAAATGAGTGTAAATAACGTGGAAAATTGGGCTAAGTACATATTTAAAATATTCAATTATTTTTTATCTTTCATGTTTAGAGAGGTCCAGGCCAATTTCCTCCGCTGCAAGCAGCAGGGCATCACCCCTGCACAGCCATGCTCGTGC